ACTTCTCCGCCATTGTCACCAACCTCCCCTGGCGCCGTCTACTATGCATTCGGGAGAAGGTTTACCAGGAGCTCGTGCTTGAGTTCTATACGACCTTCAAGCACGAAGAGACGGAGGATTGGGCGGACGGTGAAGCCGTCAAATTCAGGCTCGGCGGTGCACCCCGCTCCATGAGCTACCACGACTTGGCGACCGCCCTCGGACTGGCCGATGATAGGGACTACGTCACCGAGCTCACCGAGCCAGAGGGGGTGAACTTCAAGACACTGTACACCCGCCTCGCTCGGCCAGGCCAGTGTCCCTTCGTGGCGGGGAAGACGAAGGCCAGCACCTTGCAGCTCGAGAACCGCATTCTCCACCACTTGCTGGCAAAGTCCTACACTCCAGCTGCGGACAGTGCCAGCGCCATCACCAGGAGAGCCATGTACTTCATCCAGTCCATGCGCCAGGGGGATCATCTTCTCCACTTGGGTTCTGTGGTGGCAGGAACCTTCGACAAGAGTGCTTCAGAGCTGAAGAGCCTCCACTGCACTCCCCTCATCACCCGCCTGGCCACCTACTTCCAGATATCACTGCAGGGGTGCACAGAGCAAGGGGACACCAGTGTCTTTGGCAAATATACGATCAATCGCATGCACCTGCTTCGAGAAGAGCGAGGAGTCAAGTGGATCGAGGGGTTTCCTCAACCTCAGATCCCAGCGGAGGACCAGCCAGATGTTCCTGAGGACGCAGCTGATGAGGATGTCCACCCCGAGGATGAGGATGATACTGCTGCCGCCCGCCCCACCACCTTCGAGTACGGGGGTAGCAGTTCCACTTTCCCCGGATAGGACTACTTCACTCACCCGTTTGAGCATCTGCGTCTCCAGAATCAGCAGCTCTTCGACCATCAGCTCCAGTTCCAGCAGTAGTATTCGGCTCACCATGCCGAATACCATACCCGGATGGCTGCTTATGATGAGCGTCTTGATCGGATGGAGACCCAGCAGGGGGGGACCCTGGCTCGCATTGAGAGGGAGCATGCCCGATCTCGGCGTATGCAGGAGGTCTAGTAGCACCTACTCCAGCTGCTACCGGCCGAGCAGCCAGTTTGGAGGACTCCCGGGGAGGACTCTCCACTTCCACCTCCACCAGCTGATGATGATGCCTTCATGAACGACATCGATCTGGACAACCTTGGCGACGAGTAGGTTGTGCTCGTCGGCCCTCAGAGTGTGTTTTTGTTTTAGACTTTTTATGTTTGCTCCATGTGTTTGAGGAGCTTGAACTGAGTCTGTCGTTTGTTTTTATCCTTTTTTTTCTTTATTTTGTGGATTGTTTATTTTGTGGCCATCTGGGCCAACTCTGATCCCTAACGCACAGTGTGCTAGTGTGTTCTTGTTATTTCCTTCGTGCAGAACTGTCAGTTCGTTCCATATGTTCCCCGCTGACTGGCACACTTCCAGTCTCCCGCAGTATGTCAATCCGATAACATCGTTCCCCTTATCTCTCCCAATGCTCCATTGAGGGAAATGTCGTGCTTAAGTGTGTGTGTGTGTGGGGGGGGGGGTGCTTTGTATCGGTTGGAATCTATTTACGTGTGCTTGGAGCATAGTCCGCTGTCCAAATCTTGAGATTTGAGGGCTCCAAGTACGGCTGTTTGATCATATTGGCACTGTGTTTTGATTGTTGAATTGAATGGTTTTCGAATTAATGCATGACAACTGTATGGTGACTAGGACAACCTATAATGATGACTGAGACGTGCAGTAGAGTTGTGTAGGAGTTCAGTTTTTCAACTGTTTGCTTACCAACTGTGACTTGGATGGATCACTTATTCTTGACAGTCGTTTATGCATCTAGTTCAGGGAATCAGAATGAGAGATAGAGCATATAGGTAGCCATGTGAGATTTGAGCCTGCTCGTTTCTTTCTTGTGCGATAGTCCCTCTTCCATCATGTGTAGCATTCACGTTTTCATTAGCTAAGATGATGGAGGCATAGGATTAGCCCACGACCAAATTGATTTTCCTGGTGTGTCATACCCCCTAGTCAACCCCTTTGAGCCGTGTGTTCTCCTTTCTTTCGGTCTACAATGAAATATCACCCTTTTGCATCTCTTAGAAGGTTCCACATAGTGGTTTTTACATGTTCTCTGCTGTTTCTGCTAAATATAATGTGAGAGTTGGAGGTAGTTCTTAAAAAGTTGGGCAGGTGTTTGAAAAATGTGCAGAGGTGGTGGTTCTCTTAAGAAATGAAAAAAAAAATGAAAGAAAAACAAAGAAAAAAATGAAAGCAAAAGAGAGCCACCACCAAAAATCTAAATAGTGCCCATTAAGTAGTGTTTCTTAGCAGTCTGGCTTAGAAATACTAACATTTTTGTGACCTCCTTCGCTCTTGTGCTCTGAAGAATTTGAGTAATGCAGAATAGCAGAAAGCAAGTTATTGGTTTGATTGACTGTGAGTTTGTTGGGTTTGGAAATGTGGAACCTTGTACTATGAATACTTCCACCACCTAAAAGGCCTTTTCCCCATGTCCAAGACCCTAGCCAGTCATTTGAACCTATGTCTAAGACCTCCGGATTGGTTAGTGATGACACCCATTTATGTGAACTCTAACATTTAGAGGTTGCTGTCATGGTGAAGAGATGTTAGGGATTGAGAGAATAAGTATGCGCATTTTTCGAATCAAATTGTCCTGACCCCACTGGTCGAGAGTGAGCGATTCATTTCCTTGTTCTTTACACTCTTTACCCCGGTGAGGACCTTGATGGCTCGGTCTTGATTCTGATCTCTTGAGTTTTATGCATGAGGTGACTATCTTGAGTAAGTTGTTGAGTCAAGTCTATGTTGGTTGATGAACAGAAGGGAGACTCCTCCTTTACTCAGTTTTGCTGCACTCAAATGTCCTCTGTGGTGGTTGTCCACGTTGCTATTGAAGTTGTTCATGTGTTCATGTTGGAAAGCCAGTATGATTCACGTGTTCTGTGCCTATATGATTTGTCCCCAATGTTGGTATGATTAAAATATGTGAGCTTACCTTGTGTCTGACTTTGTTTGCTTGGGGAAAAGCAAACGGTTAAGTGTGGGGGAGTTTGATAGACCGTTAATTGCACATGTTTTTACCCCTATTCTTGAGCCGTTTGAGAGGTTGATTCTCTTGTTTTAGGCCGATTTCACGCTAGGTTGTGCTTGTTTTTGATATTTCAGGTCCTAGTACGTGAATGAAGGTTTCGGAGCGAGTTCGGGGTCGAATGGACGAAGATCGGACGTGTAGCGAGTCGCTGAGGAGGCCACACGGGCACTCCTAAAACCCACACGGCCGTGCAAGGAACCAATGTGGCCGTGTGGGATTTAGCGAGGCTTCACACGGGCGTGCTGGAGATCCCACACGGCCGTATGTCCCTGGCCGTGTAGGAAGCCTGAAATCCACTTAATCGGAACGCCGCGTTTTGGAACTCGCACGGGCATCTGGGTAAGCCATACGGCCGTGTGGCCTGCCCGTGTGATCGGGATTTTCTGGTTTTTACCCAATTTCGAGCCACAAGTGAGAAGAATCGACTTTTCAGAACAAAAACAGAGCCCTAGAGAGAGAAAGTGCGAAGAACTCACCCTAGAAGCGATCTTGGAGCTGGGTTTCATCAAATCGAGCTTGGAGATCATCATAGGAGTAGAAATCATCATCCCAAAGCAAATTCTTCCCATTGTTATGAGTATGACTGCTTTGTATTATGTTTTTCTCTCTCTTTCTATGGAGTAGACCCTTCTCTTACTTGGGTATGAAGAACCCTAGTTCCATGTGTTAGGGATTTGATTGTAATGACTTGGGATGATTATACTGTTTGGTTTAGTCGAATGATGCATGTTTCATTACATTAATTGAAGTCTGATCAGCTTTTCTTGATTTCTGCTGCAACTTGAGATAGATAGAATCTGATTAGGTTGTTAGAGCTTCATCATTTGTTAGTAGTGGATTGGTTATACGAGAGTTGGCCAGTCTACTGGTTTGTATTGGAATCCAATTCCAGTAGTGGAGTTCTGTGCTTATTGCTTCAGCTTTCTATCCCGATGAAGACTAGTCGTCTGCCGGGTAGTTAGACTGAGAGGGCTTGGTTAGCTTAAGAGATTCCAAGCTACTGTCGGATCTTCCGCAGTTTAATCAACAGTAAATCAACCCAGGGAAATTACAACTGAGACCTAACTAAGGAGCTAGGGGGACTAATTCTCGAGTGACTCTTCCTTTGGTTCAGAAAACTGAATCAATTCTTGCTTTCTTACTGCTTTTAGTTAAAACAACAATCACTCTCCTTAGTTTGCTAGATAATAGATAATCACGGAGTAGGCAGTAGATCTAGACCCTGGGTTGATAATTAGACTTGCCACTTACCTGCATTCCCGGACTGCGATTACACTTGGTCGCAGTTTGGTGTTGTGTCGCAGCGAGTCAGTGGGCTAAGCCTTCTTAAACACATTCAATGTGTGTCCTTGACCCTCATTCTCTAAGCCCCTCACCAGGCCTTGTGGGCCTAAGCCCAGATCACTCTCTTGTCCATCTCCCAACCATTCGTGGGATTCCTGCTTGTTCATTCCCCTCATTCGAAATCCTCTGCTAGAGCCGCTCACTCGGGTTGTGGGCATAAGCCCAAGCTCCACCATAGCGGACTCTCTGTCGCTCGTGTGATTCCAGTTTAGCAAAATGGTGGCGCCTTTCCTTTTTTCAGCTACTACCTAAAATCCCTAAGCTTCTATTCGCGCAAATCACTAATTCCCTAATCCCCTCTTTGTTCGATCAATTCCTTCCTCATGTACCTACCTTTGACTCTTTGTCAATGGGAAGGGCGAATCTCTTGACAGAGGATCACATCCTCTTTTCCTAATTGATCCTCTTAATCGCCCAGATTAGAACTTCCTTTGCCAATATAAAAGCCTTCTTCGGCCAATGGAATCTCCATCCCAATATCCTTCCACCATCTCCATTCAAGAGCAGCAGCTCAAACTCTCGGTCTCGCTTGCTTCGTCACCATGGCTCACAGCAATCTCCAGCTCCATGCGAATCTTGCACCTGCTACAATTTTCACCAATCGGGGATTTCGCAACTCTGAAGCTTACTCAAGGTACCTTCGGTGCTTCAGCGATCAAGCTCTCCATCCCTCATTCCTCATTCCTCCCACCACCTTCAATCGGTACAGACTGCGAGTCAATGGGTATCTCAATGACCTTGGGTGGAGCTCCCTACTCCAAAACCGGCTCCTCGATCAGTGTCCTGAAGCTGTGAGGATGTTCTTCGCATGTATGCAGTGCGGCCCTGGACCTAATCCGTCATACTTCACCACAACTGTCTACAATTTCAGTGTGATGTTACTGCTGAAATTTTGGCCAACTTGCTGCACCTTCCTCATGGTGGCTACACTGCTGGAACTACTTAAGACTTCGACAGCTATGGGTTTCATCCAATAGACACTATGTCATACCTGGCCAGCGACTACGGGCAGTACCAATCCTCGATGTTCTCCGTTGAGCGGCTGCTGGATGATCTGAAAGCTCTACACTTCTACATTACGCGTATGTTTCTCCCTCGAGCTACTGAAACGACTACTATCCTTGAAGAATCTGATCTCTAATTCTGTTCAACGCAAGGACAAGCTGCCCAATCAGCTATGCTTCCCTCATGTTTAATCACATGATTAAATATCGAGAGGAAGACTGCAGTGGAAAGCTCCCATTTGGACCGCAAATCACCTCATTGCTGGCAATTTTAGGGGTCGATTTGCGTGGGAAACTTACTAACCGAGAGGTTCACAATGACCTCCAAGCCCAGCATGTTCTTCGCCGCACGCTTTCGGTGCTTGGACCCAGAAAGCTTGCCAAAGTTCAAGGGGGAGACAAAGCTGCTAAGTCTGGAACAGATTCTGAAGAAGAGGTCAATGAAGTGGAAGATGAGACCTGGGTAAAGGGCAAGGCAGCAGAGCTAACTGCTGTTGAAATCAGTAGTCTTGACAAAGGAAAAGGGGTAGTCAAATGGTCTACAAAGCGGAAGAAGTCTCTGAGAATGGATCACGTGCAGGAAGGAATAAGGCTGGAAAAGGAAGGAAAAAGCCTTATTCGTGACTTCACCTTGGCCCTGAAGGGAAAAAAGGCAAGTTCTTCTTGCAAGCGAGTCAACAGGGTCTTATTCGTACCTTCAGAGGATGCGGAAGTCCATCCATCTGAATATGCCTCATCTGCGGAGTACACCTACTAGGAATCGCTCTGATGTTAGACTTAGGGGGAGTTCCATGAATGTCTTCTTTGATTAACGAGTCTGGTTTGGTTGTTAAGTTTGTTTCAGGGGTTAATTGAAGTTCTGGTTGCGATAGTGTTTAGGTAGATTTGTTGAGACTTTGTGTCAAGTGTCTGGTGGTGTGTGTTTATGTTTCCTTGAATAAAATGGACTCATATTTGCTTCTATTGTACGTTTGATACTTGCTGCCATGATAAATGGAATGGACAGGCTGCACCAATGGTTTGTTTAAGTGTGCAGGTTTTTATTGTGAGCAGCTTAAAGGATGAACTTTGACAAGGTGAAACAAATTCTGGGACATTCTGTTCAGGGGGAGAAAGTTAGCCATTGACAAGCTGAGGGGGAGAATGTTAGCATCAACTTGACAATGGCAGAACTTCTTGATACAACTTGAAGGCCAAGGCAAGATTCAAATATGAAAATGAAGGTGGAAAATCAGTGGCTGCCCCAAAACCAGTTAAGGCAAGTTTACAGGCAAAAAAAAAAGAAAGAATATAAACTTACTATTCAAGAAGATCTCAAGGGAGAATTGAAGAGCAACGGCTAGTTGGTGGAGGCTATAAATAGAGACAAGACTGAATTAGTAGGTAACCTTTTCAAGTGATCAACAAAGCTAGCTAAGACAAAAGGGGATTTTGTGAGAGAGTAGCAAGGTTGATAGAAAAGGGGGTTTCTCAAAGGGTTCGGGGAGAATTTCTTTGAGGGTTAGTGTTTGGGAAACACTGTTACGAGTTGCTGGGGAAGCAATTCAGGGTTTGAGAAGAGAGTGTTTGCTCAATCGTGTTGAGATTGATCAAAGGGTTCTTGGGTAGATAAACTTACATCGAACTTCAACGTAATATCTTTAGTGAATCGTCGGAGATCACACAACAGTGAGTCTCCGACCGTGGAGTAGTCAGTATTGGGATTCTTATTCTCCCAATACTGGAAACCACGTAAAAATCGTGGGCTGTGTTCTTATTCTGCTTTTCAGTTTCAGTTTTGTATGCACCTCTGTGTGTGTTCTGTTTCAAGTCTGAGTGTGCAGGGAAATTCGATCAAGAGTAGCTAAGGAAGACGAACTGTCAGAACTGGGTTGGAGAACCTATTGCGACCTGGTTTGGTTTAATTTTCATCATAATTTTCTGGGTTTATACTGTTGTGTTCTTTGAGTTCTTCCCCTGTTCTTCACTCAAATAGAAACTGGTCTCAGCTTGATCGAAATTACTCAAGCGGAAAGGTAGACTTAGTTTGAATTAAAACTCTGTCATTTTTGTTCTTCACTTAGAAACTTGGTTGGGTCTAGAAATTGGTTGAACTGGGCTTTCGGGTTTTTACTTTCCTTTAACTCAAACAATCGGGCTTATAAGCCCATTCAGGTAAGACTTGAGTTCTAATAGGTGGGTTTCGATTTAGCTGTCTAAGTGAGGGTGAAACTTTAATTAATTAGCCTAGCCGTGTTGAAAGAAGCAGAAGGCAGTTAGTTGTTTTAGGACATATATTAAATCTGTCTCTCATCTTTCTTTGTGCCAAACATTATCATTGAGCTTAAATTGTGGTCAAGTTATTTGAAAGACAGGTATAAAGTCTCGCGCTCGACGTAACCAACAGAGGGAGGTTAGAGAATTGGAGTCTTTGAAGGGGAACGGATCAGGTCAGTAACCTTATGGTGAGTAACCATGAGTAACCCGTCCACATCAGCATCTTTCTCTCTTTTGGAAAGCCTTTAATTTTTCCCTTCTTAATTTTTGACGGACGATTTCTCACTCGTTTTAAGTCGAAATTTAATTTTTTTGCATAGTTAGATCAAATTAATTGTGCTCTTCAAATTGATATCCAATTTGATATATTTTTCGAACAAAAAAAAAATTGAGCCATTTTTTACCAGTCTATACCATATGGTATTCAAATAAGAGCATACATATGGTTTGAAAAGCGTACCATGGTGGTATGAACAAACAAAGACTGTAGGATGGTTGAATACATGATAGTAGAAGTATATTAACTATCATTTACGACTTTTAACCTTGTGTACCATAAGATACCATCCCATACCAGGGTGGTATTGTATGGTATTGTGTGGTATTTTTTTGGTCCTGTAATTTGTTCACCCAGAAATTTGTAGATCCAATAGATCATGATGAACTAGTTCCTTATGTGCAAATGTTTTCAAAAATGAATTAAAAACGAAGAAAATATCATATGGTATGTAGTTGGTACCAGAGGCAAGAAATTTTTTTTCTAAAAAAATATTGAAAATGCATCTCATTTTGTAGAGCACAACGAACCCGTTCCATCTGTGCAAAAAAAATTAAAATTCGAGTTAAAACGAAGAAGATATGAGTCGATTAAGAAACATAGAGAAAATAAAAATGACCTTTAATTCTTCATCCTTAGATCTGGATTTTCTAAATGAAGAGTCTAGATTTAGTTATGCACCCTATCTTGCGCTCTTTGAAGGGATTTATTTGGCCCATGTTGGTTGTCCTTTAGTGAAGGCAAGCTTGGGATTTCTTTGGAATAAATTGGACTGGCCAGATGCTTGGGAAAAAAGGCTGCGGTGGAGAGGAAGGCAAGGGGCTCGGACTTTTTTAACTTTTTCCAGAAATAGCATTGTTTAAAAAAAATTACAAAAATACCATCCAACCCAAAAAAAATAAAAAATACCACTCTTTTGCGAGAACTGCCACCCCATCCTGCGGTTTACACGAAAACCGCTAGGTAAGGGCGCGGTTTTCGACGAAAACCCCTGTGTGGGGGGCTGTTTTGGGCTAAACCGCCGCCCTACCCAGTGGTTTTGGTCCAAATTTGTTTTTTCGATCAACTCCTAACCTCAGCCGAAACTTCAAACAACGTAACTTTGCACTCGGGTATCCGATCGCAGCGATTTCTTTTGAATCCGCATAACTTTTCGAGATCTTGCAAGCCACAAACTACAGTAGGTCCCCCCTCCGTCCCGAAAAAATACCGTTTGCTACCCCGAACGAGCTCTTTTCTGATTTCGTCAAACTTTGGACGACCATAACTTTATGCTCCAAAATCCGAAAGTCACAAACTTTTTTTAATTCAGCATAACCTTTTAAGATCTACAAATTTTACTAGGATAAAATTTTCAAAATAGGAATTAGTTTTGGATATACGGGATCTTGGGAATAACTTTACCTTTCTTTTCACAAATCCATGTACATTCCAAAATATGGCTATGATAAAAGTTGTCGTAATTAAAAAGTTATGCTGCATCAAAAAAATTATGAAATTCAGATTTTGAATCACAAAGTAATGACCGTCCAAAGTTATTGAGGATTTTTAGCATTCAAGAATTAAGAGTTTGTCAATATGTAATTGTTTCAAAAGAGGAGTTGTAGTGTGGTGGTCTACATGTTGTGCTAAATTTAGTTAACTATTTAAAGTATTAGGGTTCAAACGACAACTAATACATTTTTTAATACATTTTTTAATCTCTCTACTAAATAAAAAAAATATAATATGTGATGATGGTGATTCAAACCTAGGACCTCTTGCAAAGAGGTAAACAACTAAACAAATTGTGCCAAAACCACAAATGAGATTTATGTGGACGAAAAAATATATATACAGCAAGTCGTCGGGTGGGGGTGCGGTTTTCAACTAAACCGCACCTCCACCCAGCCGTTTTCGAGAAAAGGTGGTATTTTTGAAATTTTCGTACATGGATGGTAGTTTTGTAATTTTTTTAAACAGTGGTACTTTTGGATTTTTTCCGACTTCTTTGGAGAAAGTCAGAAAACAGCAGCGCTGCACGACTGGGAGCAACGAATAGCAGCGATTCAAGGACAAAGAGGTAAACAACTAAACAAATTGTGCCAAAACCACTAATGAGATTTATGTGGATGAAAAAATATATATACTGCAAGCCGTCGGGTGGGGGTGCGGTTTTCAACTAAACCGCACCTCCACCCAGCGGTTTTCGAGAAAAGGTGGTATTTTTGAAATTTTTCGTACATGGATGGTAGTTCTGTAATTTTTTTTAAACAGTGGTACTTTTGGATTTTTTTCCGACTTCTTTGTAGAAAGTCAGAAAACAACAGCGCTGCACGACTGGGAGCAACGAATAGCAGCGATTCAAGGACAAATTTTGAGATCAGTAGCAGCGTCGAGGAATAATTTCTGTTTCGTGATTAGTTTTATGAGGAGTATGAACATGATTATATCTTTTGATAACTAAACCTCAATTTTTGGGGGAAATACTATAGGATGTTCCTATTTTTAGACTTGATGGATTGATTCGTATTTCTTTTTTTCCATTCTCTATTTCATGAAATTACTTAATGCTTTGTATTGACTGGCCACCAATACAATTATTTGTAGTTAATTAGGTTATTAGCGATAGTGAAACCCTAATAACTGAACCTATTTCATGTGACATAGTAACTTATCGAAGCGACAATGGATTAAATAAGGTGCTTTGCGGTCTTAATTGGGATATCGATGTTCAGGCTAAACAATTAATTCATTGAGCTATGACAGTAGGATTTGAATTAATTGTTTAGTACGTAGTAATTCCCAACAGGGATAGCTAGCACAATAGAGATATCATGGCTATAGAGTATTGGATTAAACCGATTAGAATATGTGAATTAATTTGGATATGATAGGTAGTGAGTTCTGGTGTTTCTCCCAGAGATTTCTCCCACTGATTTCAGGCTGACAATTTTAGTTGCTTGTTTTGTTTAATTATTAGATATTAGTTTCATCACTAAAACATTTTCGCCTATAATTTGCTCTATAAAATTGATAGAATATAAGGTTGTACCAGTCCCTAAGAGATTATACCCGGATTTACCGGTTTACTACAAGATAAAAAATTGGCATTACGCTTTTGCCCTATAAGAATGTGAACACAGAAAAGTTTACCGTACCTTCTACCCCATCCCAATTACACTCTTACTGCACTAACTCATACTAAACACTATGTTTGTTTAGAGTTGCAAATAGATGCGAGTGCAAAGTTTGGGGGTAAATGACATTTCCAATGCATTTACCCTTAGTTAATTTGCAATAGTGGTAGGGGGCAAGTGAGGGATAAATGCACTATTTCCCTTAACCCTCCAATTTGGGATGCAAGAAGAGAAAGAAAAGGAGGAATGGTGAGTGTGTGTAAAATTAATGTTAAATTATTATAATGTGTATTATTATATTTAAATAATTATATTTTGAATAAGAAACATGAAAATGATGATTGTTATTATTAAATATAAAATATGTTCGTGAATCGTAAGTTTGTCAAATTGGCTCCAATTGTTGAATGTTTTTGACCAAGTTTGACTCAAATTTGAGTTGAAAAGTATAAAGAAAAAGTGTCAGGAAAAAGTAGAACAAGAAAATGTTTGGTTGACTCGGGTCATTTGGTTGACTCAAATGGACCAATTTGACATTGGGACCAGACAAATAGGATCAAATATACGGATGATCCGATCATTGGTCCTAAAATGTCTATCGCTTTTGGACAACGGTTCTCATGAGTTTGGTCCGGTCCGGACAAGACCAAACTGTTGCACACCCCTACTTAGTTTAAGTTCGCCGTTTGACTTGGGAGCAAGTTTCTTCAGGTTCGTCTAGTCAAATCGAGATCAATATGTCGACAAACCAATGCTCGAGTGGGAGACATGAGCTAGCTATATGTCTTGGCCGTAGGTTGGACTTTCAGCTTCAAGATTGCTCGATCGATGATTAATTACTATTTAAACATTTATTGTCTTAATTATTATTTCTATTAAATTATATTTATGAATATTACTAATTATTATAAATTTTATATTTATTATTTTTTGATAATCTTTTTCAAATTTAAAATATATTTATTTGTTAGAATATGACTTGACTTTGATTTGGGTTTATTTTGTGTTTTTGGCCTATTTTGTTTGAGTTTGTGTTTGGGTTTTGTTTTGTTTTGTCTTTTTTCCTTATATGTTTGGAAAATGTGTTTGGTTTTCTGTTTGGGATTAGGATAGGAGTTCTATAAATACTCTTCACCATCCTAATCTGTTGTAAGGTCAGTCAAGTTAGTTTGTTTGGTTTGTCTGTTCCGGAATTTGGTTTGTAACCTATACTCTCCTCAAATCAGTGAAATTTGTTCTCCCCTGCCCGTGGATTTGCTAGCACACAGTGTGCTAGTGAACCAAGTTAAATTTCTGTCCGTTTGTGTTGCTCTAGATTATCGATTGCACGCTTCTGTTTTGACAAGTGGTATCAGAGCCTGGTTCGGCGGATCCAGGATGGTGGACGTCAGTTTGGTGGACCCTCATTCGGTGACTTCGGGATTTGAGATATGCGTTTGTCTGGCGGTGATGTGATCCAAATCCGAAGAAAATCCTCGAACTCGGATTATATGACCAAAGTACGCAGCCTTCCTTCTTTTTAAGGATTTTCGAAGCTTTTCTCCGACTTGAAATAAAAGATAGATGCAGAATCAATCGGACAATCCCAACTCTTGACAAATGGCAATTGGTATATTAAACCAATCGGACAGAATCAACTCGTGGAAAGGGGCAATTGATATAGGGTAGATGCTCGCCACAACTAGACGCGTTCTCTAGTTGATAAGAGACACGTACAATCTCCTGGAATCCTCGACAGAAGTCTTGCACAAAAGAACTCGTTCACAATGAACTAGAACTCAACTTTGATTAATAACTTGGATAATGGGTACCAAAATCGTAGCTATTACATCCTCTATTTATAGAGGCCATGGAAACATAAATCTAACCTAAAAGGAATAGGAAAACAAATCCCAAACTAACTAGGAAACATAATACTACTTAAATAAGGACTATAACTCGTTTTTATGACCAAAGGAAGCTCCTTAGCAGCTAAGTAATCTCCAAACACGTTTTTAATGCTTAAGGAAGCTCCTTAGTGGTTAAGCAATCTCTTTCCTTGCCCTTTTCACATTTGGACGACTTGGGCAGCAAGGATGGACGTTTTGGGCTCCAAGAAATGTTGTAGGCCCGATCTTTAATGCATTCTCAATTTTATCCATCAAGAATGCTCCTAGTTGATCCTTAAATCGTCGAATATGAATCTTCATTTTTGGACCACGGGAATTAATTATCACGCTAGTCGATATCACATCAGGCGGGTCAAAGGTGATTCGCGTATGTTTGGTGAATCCAATAGAGATTCACGTTTGGACTTTGGCAGATCAAAGAGCGTTTCGTTTCACATTTGGGAGCAGATCAAAGAGAGTTATGGGTCTGGTAAAGTCCTTGTATCGAGAAGCCCATCGATACAAGACATTTGGCGGATCAATATAATCGCTGAGATGAGGACACGAAGTTCGTGGTCCTTGTCTTGAGGGGAGGATTGTTATGGCACAATCCAAATACCACATCGCTAATACAAGAGAAGGAACTCTTGTATATTAGTGTCCACCAATCTCATTAGTACGAGGCCTTTTGAGGAGGACACTCAAAAGTAAAACCATGCGGGCTTGGCCCAAAGCGGACAATATCATACTGATTGGGCACCCCGGTTATGACATTAATTTATTATAATAGAATTTATTTATTTTCACTGTATTTGCACCCTTACTTTTTCATGCAAACAACAAATTACCCCTCAATTTACACCCACCAATTTATTCCTCAACTTTGCACCCTTATTGTCAAACAGAGGCCACCCCTACTAAGCGAAACCGCCTAAATGAACAAGTGCTCTAGAGGTTGTAAATGGCGTCTCTAAAATCATTTTGTTTTATTGGTTTATGCATCATAAAGTAAAAAAGTTCACAAGCCTTCAATCTTAAGCCGCACTCTAGTTCTACGCTCTCTCAGTAAAGATGACTCATAACTACAGGAGAAGTGAAATTAAGAGAATGGGGAAATGAAAGATTTTCTCTTCGCTGCAAAATTTGCTCATCAAACAAACAGAGCCGAGTCCCTAATTCAATTTGCTCTACACTCGAAGCCGCTGTTCACTGAAGGCCACCGCCGAAATTCATGATAAAAATTGGAGCCGGACGATTCCTCCCGCCGCCACCGTTTCTGCAATTTCCGCCGCCGGCGGCGGAATTCCTGCATTGTTGAGCCACCGCCTGATCCCTGCAAATCGGGCAGCTGGAAGAGCGGGTAGAGAGCCAGAGATCGATGCATCCCCTGTGAAACACGTGATCGCAATTCGGCAGCACCCTCAAGCGCTCCCCGATCTCGTACTCCTCCAAGCAGATCGAGCACACCGTCGAGAAAGAGCAAGACGGCGGCGGCGATTTGTCTGCGCCGTAGGTGAACTCTGGGAACGTCGCCAAGACTTCCTCAACCGCCGCTTTCCTGTTCGATTCGGAGTGGCAATTGTCGCCCTGTTCGGGGGACGCCGGGCAGAATTTGAAGAAGCAGATCACGATGAGGCTGAGAATAGTGAAAAGAACGGCGAATATTCCGCAAGTGAGCAAGATTCTCACCGTCAGGTTGCTGGGTTCTGCTCCCGACGGTGCTACGGCTTCGGCAAGCATTCTCCGGCACGGGAGAAGAGCCGCAATTTGATAGTCCATATCTCCCTCTTCCTCCCCTGTTTCGCGGCTGCGGTTTTCGCGACGGAGTAAAAAGGGGCCGACAGAGAAGACTGATACTAATAGATGGATGGTGAGTAATCCCCAAGGAGAAGGAATGGAAATTCAATTATTTGGAAGTTTCCTGGAAGCTGCAGCTGCCAGAACCAGAGGAGCTACCTACACGAGCGTTTCATACGGAAGGATGTTAGGTTACGTACAGATAACCGATTGGAGCCCATCGTATATATCCATAAATGGAGTTCTCCTTTTTCCCTAATGTATTTATTGGCTTCAACGTTTCCGAACTCGACGTGGGCACGCGGCGATTTGAGCTGTTTGGCTCTACCGCATTTGGTGCCGGGAGATTAACTCGGACAGATCATTTGACGCAGCACTCACTTTCAGCTCATCAGTGTTTGGGCTGATTCATTTGACGCAGGAGGTTCCAGTCGGTTGACTCTAGTCGAGAGCAACATCAGTACGTAGACGCTAGAAGAAAATTAATATTTAGTGACAAATAAAAATAAAGGTTAATACCTTTGACCCGAACTATACACAAACTTTCTACTTTGACTTGTGGTTTTCGAAATTGCTATTCTGACCTCAACTATGTACCATACTTTCTAATTTGACCCTGAGCAGAGTTTGACCGTCAAATTGAACGGTCAACTTCGTCAACCGTTAGTTAATAACCAATTCACTTACCACGTCAGCAAGCACGAAATAAAATATTTTATTTTTTGAATTTCTATATTTGTTTTCTTTTCTAATAATAATAATAAACAAAAAAAATCCCAATTTATCCTCTCCCCTCCCACCCGAAACCTATCCCCTTCTCGACACTGCAGACCGATAGAGGCGGAAGCTAGAGCTCTTGCTCTGAGTCTGAAAGAAGCTAATCGAAGAGGCTGGAGCCCCCTGATCGTGGAAAGCGATTGCCTGAATTTGGTGAATCTCTTGAAGAATGGGAAGGGCGACCGTACAGAGCTGGAAACTTGGAGACAAGAAGTGAATTGGCTTGCTGAAGTCAATGGCTCGATTTCAGGGAAGAAGGTTGAGTGGAATCATGTTTGTAGAGCAAATAACTCGGTGGCCCACTGTTTAGCCCATTTGGCTCCCAGATGGAACCACCCTTTCGTTTGGGCCGACTACCCACCTAGCCCCATTTGGGACCTGTTGGAGGCTGACAAAGCCCACACCTAAATTTCCTATAATTTACAGGGCCGTTTATCAAAAAAAAACCTATCCCCTTCTCCGACGAGCTGCCGCCGCCATTGGAGGAAGAAAAATCACAGCGGTAGAGGAAAACGATCCATCCCGACTGGGTGAGATCTAAGGCCAACCCTAGTGGGTGAGATCTTACTTTCCTCTGTAAGTCCTCTCATTGATCCCACATTTCTCTTATTGTCTCTGTACGTTTCTTTTGTTCAGTTTCTAGATCTCTCATAATTTTCCACACTCAGTTTGAGAAGTACGGGCTGATTTTAATGGTGATAGGCGAAGTGGGGATTTGATTGCTTTGCTTGCATCTGATGTTCGGAGGTCAACTGGTATCGTCTGGCAATCGTCTGCATTTGAGGAAGTATGGTAGCCGACCTCTTGTCTTCGATCTTGGTAGCAACAGAAGTTTAATTTCCATTAACCCTTTTTTCTTTTAATTCCTATTCTTCCCGATGTTTATGATTTTGGGAATTTGGTTGCAATGGGCTGCTCTTGGTTGTTGCTGGAGGGAGTGATGTGAGGGCGCCGCCGTTGCAAGTTTTCTTCCTCTAATGGCGGCGGCAGCTCGTCGGAGAAGGGGTTAGGGCTGGGAATCCAGACCAAATCGTATGGGAAACCGCGGTGTAGACCGTATCTTATGGTTTGGTCTGGACCGTGAGACCAGAACTATGGTCTGGTGTGGTTTGCGGTCTCCTCCTTTAGTGCGTGGTCTGAAGTGGCCTGGACCGCGGTCTACCGCAGTAAACCGTAACAGACCGCGACAGACTACCTACTACCTTGGACAAAAATAACACTAAATTGAACCTCCATATGTGTATTTGAAGACAAAGTTAGTTGATTCTTCATCTAGTTGAGAGCCAACAAATTGCAAAATGATCGCTTATATGTTATCTCCTTATAAAAGTACCACACAAAAATCAGAAAGACTCATAAATAATATTCACAGATAATGTATAGACTATGGAGTCGATAAAAATTAAACACTACAAAAATTGGATTTTTTTGTTTATTATTATTATTATTATTAGAAATAAATGAATACAAAAATTCAAAAAATAATTTTATTATTCCGTGCTCGCTGACATGGCAAGTGAGCTGGCCATTGACTAACGGTCAACGGAGTTACCCGTCCAACTTGATGGTCAAACTCCGCTTTGGTCCAACTTGTTTTCTTATTGATTATTGAGTTTGACCAATGACCTTACAAGTTACAAGTAATGCAGTCAAAATTCCGATATTAATCTTAAAGTACTATGGTTATACGATCTTATCTATGGGTTCTGATATTGGTTTTATCACCTAATCTTTGAACCTTAAAAGTCTGATTAAAAACATAAAAATCTACAGAATTTATGATTTATATGATGATGTAGGATTTCGAGGTTCAATTTAGTTGAAGCAATGCTATGAACCGGGCCAAGTTCACTTCCCCATCCATTGTTGGATGAGAATAGTCCAACATCGTCTTATAATTGCCCTCTGCGGCTCCTTCGACCACGGTTGCGTTCTGTTGCTGCTAACGTAAGCGTCTATGCATGGTCCTCTCTATCTCTAGATCAAAGGCGAATTTCGGAGGATGGCCTCTTCGCATCAACTAACTCAGACACAAAGCAAAGAATAGCACAATCCAGAAGTATGAAGGAAGCACGAACAAAGTAAAAAATGGCACGGTTAAAGTAACAAAATCAAACCGTTCCTAGTATCACAACCTGCAACAATGGTGCCAAAAACTAGATCCCCTTTTTGTAAGTGCGACTACTTAAGGCAAATGTACCGGTCGTAGAGGCAATACAGTGGCAAGCAAGGTCGTATTACACAACTACTAGTACTGAGTTATGTTTCTTATTATTTAAATGTTCTTTATCAGTTTTCTTGATTAACTAAACCGACTAACAAAACAGTGAGATTTAGCAAAGCAAATCACAATCACGAAATCAAATTCAAGTAGAGAAGGCGTTGTTCAGACTTCGAATCCCCTAGCTAATTCATACCTCTTCAAGCGAACATGCATAGAATCGATTTATATTCTTCGACAGTAGGAATTCCATGATTGGTATTAACCTGATCTTCTCATGTATTAACACCCTATTAGTCGATTCAACCTAGATATGATATTCTCTTTGACCTAGATTCCATTCCCTTATGATTTTCGCTCCATGAATCCCCCTATTAGGTTTAATCCTAATCCAAAAGTTCCTCTCGCTCCATATTCTGGTAGTTCGAGTGATATGATCCCAATTGGATCAATCCACAAGTCACAATTACTTGTCAAAGAAGCCATCTCAACTTACAAGAAGTATTCTGATTTTTGACCAAGTGTTGAAACAGTTTCAGGTACCCTACTTTGGAAGCTTGTATCTCACAAATGGCTCAATGAAAATGGAAGATCAAGAGCTTGTTTTGAAGATAAAGTTTTTATCTTTACCTTGGTATATTTTTTAGCTCAAGGGGATGTCTGGAAGGTCACTTTCAAAGCCCATCAAAAGGCTACCTCAAAACAGGAAAACTGCCTGAATTTGGCCAAGGCAGAAAACTGTTTTGAGATACCAACTTTGAAGGCCTATATCTGGATTTTGGAGCATGATCTCAGGCTGATTCAAGTTGGAGGTGAAAGAGGGAGTTTTCTTATACGAAGGCAAGGATTTGGTTGAGTTCGAATCAACTTGTAAGACCATTTTAGAAGGGCTCAAAGATGCTATGAAGTCTGTTTTCCTAGGCAGACTTGCTTGTGATTTAAGTCAGTTTCTTGGCCAGCAAGTTACCTTGTTTTACACTAATTCTTTAGCCTTTTCTTGTTCTAATTGGTTTCCTTGTTAGTTTAGAATTCTATTAGGTTTTCTTTGGCTATATAAGCCCTCTAGTTCACGTTGTAAAGCAGATTTGATTGAATTGAATAACAAACCGAGTGTTTGAGTTCGTGAGTTACGTCTCGAGAGTTTTACCATTGTCATTAGCTTTGAGTGGATTCCTTAGCTAATTACAAGACCCTTGTGAGACTATTATGAGTGGATTCCAAAACCGTTTAGCAAGTTCTCTTATCTATCGATTAATCACCTCGATTGTGGCGAGAATTCTACCTATCCATCATCTATCGTTCGATTGTTTGTGTGAGCTGCGTATTCTGATCAAAAGCACCCCCCTGGTGCTTTATCATCGAGGTCATTTTTATCTATAAGTTTTATATTGTATCTATGGGGATCTTCTCGTTGACATACATACGAAACAAACAAACATACAATAGGCGCACTTCTATCGCATACCAAAAATATTATTCATAGACAAATCAAAGATCATAAACATCAAGATCCATGAAATATCGATTAAATCAGTATCATACAACTAGAGTTCATCTAATCCAAACAACAAGAGAGGATTAGTTCATGGCTAATGGGGAAACAAACAAAGGAGAGAAAGAAGAACTGATTTCCATAATGGGTGACTTGATCGGATGCTCCAAGGTGATTCCTTCGGGGTAGAACTGGTGGAAAACCTCCCATTCTGCTCTCTAATTCGTCTCTGATCGTATTAGGATTTATATGCCCTACCTCCTCTAACAATTAGGCCTAATGATTCTTAATAGTCAAGGCAAAAATTCGTCCACGGGTACGATCACGATCGTGAGGCTACCCATGAACCACATCCTTACTCGATACTTTAAATTGCCTGACGTCGCTTTGGAAGGGCTTCTGTCATCATTCACGGTTGTGGGGTGTTCACGGTCCGAGTCACGTGACACCGGTTGCTCGACACAAAATTTCTTCATCTTCAATTGATTGGAATTGCACGTTAATTTTCATGATCCGTCTCATGGCCTTGGGGACCTCGATAAAACTCTCCAATTGCATTCCAAATGCCCTAAAGCTCCAAATCTTTAGTACTTTGTGTATTTCTCGGCCCAATATCATCAATATCACTCATCATGACTTTAAATACACTAAACACCAAACCAAGCATAAAACTGGTAAAAACATAGAAATATTGTTGGAATA